ACATGAAAACCAAAACTTGTGTTGTATATATATGTGATTACATATATATACAAGGAAACCAATAAAATGTGTGTGTATATGATATTGAGCTTAGAGTATCTAACACACATAATATAAAACCTAAACTAGATTACCCAAGCCGATCTTGATCTTCAATAAGCTTGACTTGGTACACTATGCGGATGAAGCGGAACTTGGATCTTGAACTTGAATTGCATAAGCTTCACTCCACAATTCCGCCAACTTCCATTTGATATCGTCGTTGAAGCGCTATTCCATCCATCCTCCAACACGTTGTTTGCCTAGAATAAATACGAAAACACAAATACTAGACAAACAACATTAGAAGTAAATTGTTTGTTAAATATCATCAAAACAAGAAGGCTAACTATATATATATATATATATAGGATTAGGGTTTAGAGAAATAATTAATAGAATAATTAGGGAATAATTAATAACAATACTTATAATAACAATAACAATAATAAAACCAATATTATTTAAAAGTTTTCACCGCAACAATTTAATTTATAATTATCAAAATCATTAAATAAATATAAAATCAGATTTTTAAATTGTAGAAAATTCTAAAAAATCGAGAAAATATAAATACTCTTTTAAAAATAATAATTTAATATTTTAAAATACCGAGGAAAATTATTTAAACTAGTATCGAAAATTCATGGTCATTACAATCTAGCCGATAAATCGGGTGGAACAAAAAAAATGGAACTGAATTACAAGTGCAAGAACAAAACACAAAAACAGATTTATTTATTTTTTTTTCACTAAGAGAGAAATACTCTACTACTAATATTTTCTTGTAATACTTCTTAACTAACTTGATCTTCAGATTACAGTCATCTCTTTAGATAGAGATCTCAAATCTGATTAGAGTTTTGCCATTTAAATAGAATATTCTTTCAGAATTTTTATATAAGTAGAACATTCTTGCAAATATCAAAGGAGTTCATTAGGCCCTCATCATTGAATCTAACCTTATGGACTCAATCATGTAAGTTGTTCTGAGCATCAACGCGGTCTTGTTCGAATTGTGAAATAGTTCCAACACAACAATAGCATGCCCTCATCCTCTTTTGCTTAGTCTGAAATCTCTAAACTATTTTATTTTAAAAGACTAATTAGTCCGGCCTAGTACGTTCATAACTTTTAGCCAAACATCCCACTGTTATATTTTGAGGAGCAAAGGTTTATTACCTCAGACTAGCTCTCAACCCGGACTTACTGAGGTTCTAACATAATAGGATTTGGATCTTCTCCACTACAAAAAAGTAGTGGAGAGACCACTACTTTTAATCTCAATCGTTAATTACTTAATAGCCGGTTATGATACAATCTAAATCTAACACTTACCATACCCCGTGTATTGCACTCATTCCTAATTTGCACTAAAAGAAAAAATTACAACCATCAACTAGATAATCAATTGTTATGATTATGTAGTGGTCCATCCACTACTTTTTAGATAGTAAAGAGGATCCGAATCTAACAGAATATGGGTGGGCATGAGCATGTGCCCCCATTGTGGAGGATCCCTTTCCCCTACTCTTCCTGAAATTTCCAAGCAGAAACGAAGTGCAGCGGGGTTCCCTTCCATCCAACTAGCAATGCCTTGCTGTTCATCGCCAGGGTGCATGAATTATCTTCAACAAAGCGTTTGATAAGGAGGTGAGCTTGGTACATTGACCATTCACTGAGATCAGCCTCCCTGAGTCCAAATCTTCTGAAGAACGCTCTCCATACACAAACCCCCACCTGCCTCACTACTCTCTCACTTCCCTCCGCCGCGACTGTGCATTTCATTCCCTGAGATAACACTCCTTCAATCATCAACCTCCTCTCATCGCTCTTCTCCATTAGACAATCAAAACATTCAAAGTAGGCGCCATAGAAGAACAAGGCTTCGGTGAATCTTTTGATGAATGAAGGTGAGTTGTGATTAGCTTCAACGTCTATGACTGTCACGAGGCACGGCTTTAGTTTCCAAAAGACTCTCATAACGTTATCCAAGCTCTCAGGCCTCATGATCAAATTATTCATGTCCAGGCTAGTGTAGATCCCAACCACCTCTCCTACTTCCAACTCGAACATGGATTCTGTCATCTCCTTCATGTCCGGAATAATCACCGGCTTGAACTTGAAATGCAAACTCAGACTCTCAGCAAAGCTCCAGAGCCTTTTCCCAGTCATACTAAGAATCTCTTCTGCTGCTCCCACTGCGCTGATTGTTACTGACTCTATCGGGAGTGAGCGTCTTGTTGCTAGGCCGTGTAAAAAGAATGTCCACTGCTGGCCATACTTGATGGAGAGATCGATTATGTGGATCCTTCTTGCAGACGCTACGCTATCTAAGAGAGCTTGGATCGCTGTGAAGTGCAAGACCTGAGTAAATGGCAGAGTGTTGTTGGCAATCAATTGAACTGGATGATTTGTGAGCACTGCCTTCATTAAATCTCGGGGCATCATAGCTCCAATTTTCTTGTTGCCTTTTGACGACATCTCCCCAGTTTCTCGATCAATCCTCTCTTGGAGTGCATCACAAAAATAGTACACAACCCTCTGTACTGCACTACCGTACTTTGAGGAGGACCTGGTGCATTGGCTGAGTAAAGCTTTCGCCCGATTGTACTGTTCATTGCTCACCTTCTCAGCTGCAGACAGTAGAAGGCCAACAAGCTCAACACCCTTGAGATCTTCAGCGCCAAGGCTCGATAGCAATAGCCCAAATGGAAGCCTAAGATTGGTAGGATGTCCTGCCACTAGAGCAGAAGCCTGGATGTAGAGAGCAGCAGCCACCTTCACGACTTCTTCGGTGGATAGTTGTGCTCTTCCTCCTCCAACCGAGTGCATGCTCAGCTTTCTACTCAATCCCTCGCGGCTTGGTCTGTGACCCTCCGGTATTTCCAACAACGTTAACGATGGTGGAGCCTCTTTGTCGTCTGAAGTGTATCTGGAAAAGAAACCATCCAGTCCCCTTCCTCCTTCCGTTTCCGCTGACAGAAATTGGTCTGGTTTTGTAGCGCAACCATCGAGGAATTCTTCGAAGGGATGATTCTTGTTTGAAGTATGCCCCTCTCGAGTGAGGAACGGATCGGACATGTTGACGGCTGAACAATAATCTGTCGAGCAATATCTGCTCTATTGAGGATAACATCCAGGAAATTAGATTAAATATTTCTCTCTAGGCGTTAGATACAAAGCTTAATGAGCTGTGCTCAAAAATGCAATAAAGCTTAACGAGCTGAGAATGATGGCCATTTACCAACTGCTTTGGCTTTTCTGCTGGAGTATCAACTACGTAAACCCTTTATGTGTCAATTAACATTTGTTAATGTCATTTCAGATACCATCAGGATCATCTCTCTATCTTAACTGTCAATGACTGTGACTTTGAAGGAAATAAAAGGTTTTTCTTGGATCAAACAATAAAGAACAGTGGTAGGAGTGTGTACTGTTGATGCATCAGTTCCCAAATACACTATAGATTAAAGGGTGGCACTAGGGGCACACCCCCAACCACACCTCCAACAACAACCCCTCTCTTATTTGCTACAGTGCACCGGGCCCCACATGTGATTTTAAAATTTTAAAATCACTTGTGGGACCCGGTGCACTGTAGCAAATGAGAGAGGGGGTGTGGTTGGAGGTGTGGTTGGGAGTATGCCCCTATCATTTTCCTAGATTAAAAGCCTTACAAGTTGAAATTACTCTTTAACCTACTCTCAAAGGTTCACTACACAATCATACATCTACTATAGCCCAAGGTTATCATGCAGGAGAGAGTTGAACCTGTTAGCATGAAGGCTGGTGACTTGGTCCTATTAATTAGCCCCAGATATTGTATCCTTATGAATGCTGGCGATTTAGCTTATGGAAGTTGATGAAGGCCAAGGAATGTTGGAGTTAATTTATGCAATCCTTTTGCATGATTTTGCAATAATCTTCTGGGGTTAATGAGTTGATGGATTCTATATTACCCTTATCCATGAGAATAAGAAATGTCCTTTGGCAATTATCGTAGGAGCTTGGTTACGACAAAATTAAGAAGTTCTTTGTGGGTAATAATTTTTGCTTAATTTGGGAAGGTTTATAAGAACTTGTATCCAGTTTCAGTGATAGGGTGACTTTTATCAGATATATTGGACTTTTGTATCTCAAACATTGTTCAGATACAAAGACCGAACAGCTCACATAAAAATGAAAATACTTTTATCTAGCAAGTACTCTTTTGGCTGATGGCTTGGTGTCATACATTATTTATGCAAAACAATCAAACTATTGATTCTCACATTGCAAAAATTTACAAGATGCAAAAGTTTAATATACTTTCCCAGAGTGTTGGTGCTCTGAAATTATACAAAATCCGTGAATCTAAGCGGTAGAACGTTGGTAGAACGTTTAATTGGATAACTAGTTTACCTTGCTTTTTTGGTATTTGACTAATTTTAGCATTATGATTCTCAAATGAGTATCTATTAATCTATTTATGTGGAGGGCATATCCTCCCTCCCCTCGCACACACAAAAATAAATAAAATAAAATAACAAAAAACGGAGTTTTTTTTCAATATATTAGAAAACAAACAATTGGTGAATTCCATGAATCATAGTTGGCTGGATACTAAGGGGGTGTTTGTTTCACCAAAAAATTTGGCATTTGGTATGGATAACAAGTTTTGGGATAAAAAAAATAAGTTTTTTTGTATTTTGGGATTCCATATATGGTGTTTGTTTTAAGAAACTTTTTAGAATATTGAATCCCAAAAGTGCAAAAAGTGTCAAACTTTTAGAATTTGTCAAATTCTCTCAATTGGAGAGGATTTTAACAAATCTCATAACTGGGTGTGCTTACCTCTCAATTGGAGAATATTTGACAAATCCCAGTTTTGTCTTTTTGTGAGAGGTAATCTAACCAAGATAGCATATTCATCATATTACAAAATTATGACATTTAGTAATGCTACAATTTGAGCTTATAACAAATAAAATATTACAAATTATAGTATTTCAAATCCCAAAAAATTAATGAAACAAACAACATTTTAGAAATCTCACCTCATAACAAAATACATATAGTTTTCAAATCCCATGGTAAAATTTATATCCTAAAATTATAGGGTTTGAAACAAACACCCTCTAATTGTCCTATGTAGCTAAAAAGTAATCAATAACGGTGTTAGGTAGTAGCTGGTAGAAGTTACAGATGGAGATAACACAACAATACTTTTAATGAAACCAACACGTACTCTTAATTTCTTATTCATGATTCTGAGTCTATATAATATAATCCTTGTGGAAGAATCAGAAAAACCAGATTTTCTGATATAAGTCGACTCATGCACAGAGGGTAAGTCGACTTATGGTAAGTCGACTTGTCAGTGTGCACAAGTCGACTTACGAACTGCACTGGAATTGTGGATTTTCTCTCTGCCAAGTCGACTTGTGGCGACTGTTAAGTCGACTTACGACAGGTATTTTGCATAATCAGGTTTCCTGTTTGTAGTCTGATTGGGTTTTTGTTTTGATATAAATAGGGAAACGATTTGTTAGGGTTTTTTATCAGAGATTGAGGAATCTTTTGAGCATTGTGAGAGAGAGATATTGTGAGCAAGGTGAGATCTTTGGTTGAGGGTTAGTTTGAGAGTTTTATGTGATTGTAATCCTTTGTACTCTCCTTGAATTAGTGAAATCTCCCCATCCTCTCCCCGTGGACGTAGGCAAGTTGTCGAACCACGTATATCTCTGTATTTGGTTTGATTTGTCGTAATTGGCTTGGTTTGTGCAAGTGTGTGGCTTTCTTCTTCTGTGATCTCAAGTTCGTTGTGTGTGCGTGCAACGCTTCCGTCTAGGCGCGCGACAAGTGGTATCAGAGCTCAGATTTCAGATCTGGGGTTTTGGATTAGGTGGAGGAAGATTCAGTTAGAAGCCTGGTTCTTGGAGTTCTAGGCTTTGGTGGAGTTAGGGTTTGAAGTTGCCATTGAAGATCTCGATTTCCTCGTGTGGTTAGGAGTTCTATTTGGAATCCAATCTAGGGTTCAGTTGGGTAATTTCTTATTCTTTTCAAAGTTTGGATCTTTCTCTACAATTTGGAATTTGTGATTATGGGTGAAGAAGTTGGTGAAAGCAGCAAGATGTCAGGCACAGTTCAAGTGGGTTTTCAGAACACTAAGATTAGTATAGTGAAATATGACGGCAAGATCAATTTTGGTTTGTGGATGAGCGACGTACAAGATGCACTCAATGCTCAAAATCTGGAGGAGACCATCATGATCGATGTGAGGCCACCTAAATATGAAGAGGCGATATGGGAAAAGATGAATCGAAATGCTTGCGGGGTGATCAGGTTCTGTTTGGAACAGGAACTGAAATATGATGTGATTGGGGTGACGTCTGCAATGAAGATGTGGGAGATTCTCAACAACAAGTATCTCACGAAGAGTGTTGAGAACAGGTTGCACTTGCTGCGAAGATTATTCAGATTTCAGATGTCCAGACGCACCTCGCTTGCGGCTCATGTGAACAACTACACTAAGTTGTTGTCGGACTTGGCGAACGTGGATGAGAAGATCACAGATGAGTACAAGGCTATTATTCTTTTGGGCTCCTTACCGGATGAGGAGTATGATACCTTCGTGCTTACGTTGCTGAACGGGAGATCTTCTATCACTTATAGTGAAGTGACTAACGCATTGACGAACTATGATTTGAGGAGGAAGGATAAGGAGACTTCCCGCGCTAGTACTTCAGGAGAGGCCTTGTCGGCGAGAGGTAGAAGCTCATATCAGAAAGGTGGAAACAGAGGGAGGTCAAAGTCAAGAGGTCGTCACCAGCTTGGAAAGAATCAATGTGCATTCTGCAAGGAGCAGGGACATTGGAAAAGAGATTGCCCGAAAGTCAAAGAAAAGGAGAATAGCAAGAATAAGGGCCCGAAGGCCAATGAGGTGAATGTTGCGAAAGGCGATGATTCCGATGATTCGAGCTTTTCTCTTTTGATTACTCCGGAGGTGAACCATTTGGATGCATCGGAGTGGATGCTTGATTCTGGCGCTACTTATCATGTGACTCCTAAGCGAGATTGGTTCTCATCATTTGAGAGACTCGACGGGGGTGTTGTTATCATGGGAAATGATCAATCCTGTGGCATTTGTGGGATAGGTACTGTGAGGATTCGGATGCACGATGGAGTAGTCTGTGAGTTAAAGGAGGTGAGATTAGTTCCTCAACTTAAGAAGAATCTTATCTCAATTGGGACTTTGGAGGCGAAGGGATTCAGGGTGACCTTTGAGGATGCTGTAGCGAAGGATACTAAGGGATCTTTGGTGGTGATGAAGGGAGTCCGCAGTCATAATTTATACTATCTGAAGGGGAGCACCGAGATTGGCCAGGTTGCTTCGGCTATTTCAGAGGCGGACATGAGCAGACTTTGGCATTACAGGTTAGGACACACAGGAGAGAAGTCACTGCAGGCTTTGTGCAAGCAGGGGCTATTAAAGGGAGCCAAGAGTGGAAAGATTGAGTTCAGTGAGCACTGTGTTCTTGGCAAGAAGACGAAGGTGAAGTTCGGGATGGCCATTCATAGGACGAGGGGCATCTTGGACTACGTGCACACAAATGTTTGGGGTCTCACCAAGACGGCATCACTTGGTGGTCGACATTGGTTCGTCACATTTGTTGATGACTATTCTAGGCGTTGTTGGGTGTACACCATGAAGCATAAGAGTGAAGTCCTAAATTTGTTTGTGAAGTGGAAGAAGAGATTAGAACTGCAGACTGGGAGAAAGATCAAGACGTTGCGATCCGACAACGGCGGCGAGTATACTTCAGACCCCTTTCAGCAGCTATGTCGAGACGAGGGCATAGAGAGGCACTTCACAGTTAGTCATACACCGTAGCAGAATGGGGTGGTAGAGAGGTTAAATCGGTCTTTGCTGGAGAAGATTCGATGTTTATTGGCGCATGGTGGTTTGGAGAAGATCTTTTGGGCTGAGGCACTTTCTTATGCGAGCCACCTCATTAATAGGCTGCCTTCATCTGCGATTGAGGGGAAGACCCCTATAGAGATGTGGTCGGGAGAGACAGCACATGACTATGACCAGCTTAAGGTATTTGATTGCCCTGCATATTATCATGTTAGAACTGATAAGTTGGAACCTCGAGTTAGGAAGGCCATATTTGTAGGATTCAAGCGTGGTGTCAAGGGATACAAGCTTTGGGATCCAGTTGATAAGAAGATTGTGTTGAGTAGGGACGTCACATTCGATGAGGTTTCTATCTTGAAGCTTCCCAGCTCTCATTAGGTGGAGAGCGACCCGACAGAGGAGATTTCGCAGGTGGTGGAGATTGATGCAGCTCCACAGAGTCCAGATAGTGCAGTATCCATTAGAGTGCCGACTAAGGTGACGTCAGGCGAGCACGACAGTGATGCGGAGGATACGGGTACTCATGAACAGGATCAGGGACCAACGGCTCAGGTTCAGGATTCTATTGCGGCACGGAGACAGAGGAGAGACATACGGGTGCCAGTACGGTATGCCGACACAGTTGCATATGCACTTCCGGTGGAGAGTATCGATGAGATGTTGTCTACTACATTCAGATAGGCTGAGCAGAGTTCGTAGGTTGATTCGTGGCAAGTGGCTATGCAGGAGGAGATGGAGTCTCTTCACAAGAACGATACATGGGAGCTTGTTGAGCTTTCAAAGGGGCGGAAGACGATTGGGTGCAAGTGGGTGTACACAAAGAAGGAGGGCATTGAGGGCACTCCAGTGAGGTTCAAGGCTAGGTTGGTTGCGAAGGGCTATGCACAGGAGGAAGGTATTGACTACAATGAGGTTTTCTCTCCGGTGGTGAAGCATTCGTCGATTCGGATTTTGCTAGCTTTGGTGGCACAGTATGGTTTGGAGTTAGATCAGTTGGATGTGAAGACAACATTTCTTCATGGTGATCTTGATGAAGAAATCTATATGACTCAGCCATTGGGATTCCGAGCTGCAGGGAAAGATAAGTTGGTTTGCAGGTTAAAGAAATTGCTATACGGTTTGAAGCAGTCTCCTCGACAGTGGTATAGGCGATTTGATGGTTTTATGCTTGGTCATTCGTACACTCGGAGCCAGTTTGATCCTTGCGTGTATTTTCGCAAGTTGAGAGGAGGTGCGTACATTTATTTGTTGCTTTATGTCGATGACATGTTGGTTGCCTCTAGTTCCAGGTCAGCTATAGATAAGTTGAAAGTTCAGCTTTTGAATAAGTTTAAGATGAAGGACTTAGGCGAGGCGAAGCGCATTTTAGGGATGGAGATCGGCAGAGATAAGAAGAAGGGCAGGATTTGTTTGACACATGTGGCTTATTTGAAGAAGGTTCTACAGCGATTCCATGTTAGCATGGATACGAAGCCAGTTGGTGTACCGTTGGGAGCCCATTTGAAGCTTTCAGCTGGCCTTTCACCGAAGTCAGTTGAAGACCGTGAGTTGATGTCGAAGACTCCATATGCGAGCGCAGTTGGGAGCTTGATATACGCGATGGTATGTACGAGGCCAGATTTATCACAGGCAGTGAGCATGGTGTCAAGATACATGCACGATCCAGGAGTGGGTCATTGGGATGCCGTGAGATGAATTTTGAGGTACATTCTAGGTACGTTCAATGTTGGTTTGGTTTATGAGCGGGACACTACAGGTGGGCAGCTATGCATTGGCTATGTTGATTCGGATTATGCCGGGGATTTGGATAAGTGCCGGTCTACGACGGGGTATGTGTTCACTTTGACCCGTGCGCCGGTGTGTTGGAGATGCACCTTACAGTCGACGGTGGCTTTGTCTACGACGGAGGCAGAGTATATGGCAGTTACGGAGGCTGTGAAGGAGGCTATTTGGCTTCGAGGACTTTTGGAAGAACTTGGTATATCGCAGCGATCCGTCACTATTTATTGTGATAGCATGAGTGTTATATATTTGGCGAAGAATCAGGTTTTTCATGCGAGGACGAAGCACATTGACGTTCGTTATCACTTTGTTCGGGATGTTCTTGAAGATGGCGATGTGAAAATTATGAAAGTCCACACGAAGGATAATCCGGCGGATATGCTCACTAAGGTGGTTCCGAGCAACAAGTTTGATCATTGCAGAAACTTGTTGAATATTTGTGATTGTTGAGGCCGTTGGCGGCCATTTGGATGAACTACGGTCGGCTTGATCCCTTGGGAGAGGGGGTACGTAGGCAACCATGGTGGTGCAGCCGTATTTGGTGAGACGACACATTGATGCTCTTGGTTTGGTGTCGGCTCAGTTTTGGCAAAATTCGCCGAGGTGGAGAATTATGAAAGAATCAGAAAAACCAGATTTTCTGATATAAGTCAACTCATGCACAGAGGGTAAGTCGACTTATGGTAAGTCGACTTGTCAATGTGCACAAGTCGACTTACGAACTGCACTGGAATTGTGGATTTTTTATCTGCCAAGTCGACTTATCAGGCCTGATAAGTCGACTTATGAAGTGGTCTCCAGTTGCTGTTTTTCTCTCTGCCAAGTCGACTTGTGGTGACTGTTAAGTCGACTTACGATAGGTATTTTGCATAATCAGGTTTCCTGTTTGCAGTCTGATTGGGTTTTTGTTTTGATATAAATAGGGAAACGATTTGTTAGGGTTTTTTATCAGAGATTGAGGAATCTTTTGAGCATTGTGAGAGGGAGATATTGTGAGCAAGGTGAGATCTTTGGTTGAGGGTTAGTTTGAGAGTTTTGTGTGGTTGTAATCCTTTGTACTCTCCTTGAATTAGTGAAATCTCCCCATCCTCTCCCCGTGGACGTAGGCAAGTTGCCGAACCACATATATCTCTGTGTTTGGTTTGATTTGTCGTAATTGGCTTGGTTTGTGCAAGTGTGTGGCTTTCTTCTTCCGTGATCTCAAGTTCGTTGTGTGTGCGTGCAACACTTCCGCCTAGGCGCGCGACAATCCTTTGTGTCAAACGGTCCTTAATTGAAGTTAGGTGGTAATAATTACCGAAAAAACTTAATTGAAAAGTACATCCATGTGGTTGATTGCAACAAAAGACCCTCTAAAAATAATTTATGTATAAATTATTAAAAAAATCAAAGGTGACTTTTGTAAAATGACCCTATTCTAAAGATGATTTGATGTGGGTTGGTGGGTTTTTTTTTTTTTTTTTTTTTTTGGGGGGGGGGGGGGGGGGGGGGGTTTTTGTTTTGATTTATATAATGGATACATATAGTTTTAATCTGTTTGTCTTGCTACAGAAATGCAACCAACAATAATATCCAAGTGATATGCAGAACTTAAAGACATAACTTTATTAAATGCTTTTTTAAGTTGCAAAGTTCCTTGGTCTGGATGATAATCGCGAGGAATGTGTTTCTCTGCTTGCCTATTTTGAGATACCATATAATTTACGTCATATCAAAGAGTCGACACAAGATCTAGGAAATGTATGAACATGAGTTTGTGAGATTGATAGAGAGCTTGTTTTTTTTTTTTTTTTTACCGGAA